AGAACAGGCTGACGGCGCTTCCGGAGCTGCCCCGCACCATCGTCCGCCTGGATGCTCGACTCAACAGGATCCCCAGCACCGGCCTCCGGCCGGAGGCTTTCCGGGTGGGTGCTGGGGCTGCCGGGTCGGTGGATGAATCCAGGCTGGTTTTAGCCCAAACCTGCCACGCTGAGGGGTAACGGGGATGGTGCAGAGGGCCGGGGCGGGGCTGGGTGCAGGGAGGTTCATCTCTCTGCTCTTCCCGCAGGACCTGAAGCAGCTGCAGTTTCTCCATCTGTCCGATAACCAGCTGGACTATATCCCCGCACCCCTGCCTGAGAGCCTGCGCTCCCTGCACCTCCAGGTGAGACGAGCCTGGACCCAGCCTTGGCTGTACCCGAGTCTCTCAGAGCCCATCATCACCTCCTCCTCCTCTTCCTCCTCCTCCCCATCCCTTTGAATCTGATGTTGCCCTTTCCCTCCCTGGCCAGAACAACAACATCCAGACCATGCACGAGGACACGTTCTGCGACAGCCAAGACCACAGCCAGATCCGCAGGGCGCTGGAGGACATCCGCCTCGACGGCAACCCCATCAACCTCAGCCTCTTCCCCAACGCCTATTTCTGCCTCCCCCGTCTGCCCACCGGCCACTTCTTCTGAGCCCCGCAGCCCTGGGCGAGCATTCCCGGACCCCCCGTGTCCCCACGCTGGACCTTGGTGCCCCATGGAAAATGCGGGGTTAGGGCAGACGGATTTAACCCTGGTGTGAGCTGAGCCTCTGTGTGGAGGTAGACTCAGTTCTGGAGCAAATGGAGGGTGGGGACGCAGCTCTAATAAAATGAAGATTTAAAAAATGTATTCAGTGTCTTGTTCCCAACAGCGAGAACAGCAGAAAGCCCTCCCCCAGCCCAGCATCTGCCCCGTGAACCACGCTGCTTTGCAGAGATGGACACTTCCCCTTGTCCCACTTCTTCCTCGATTCCCTCCTGGGGGCTTGGGAAGACCCCTCTGTGTCTGCTTGCAGGCTTTCCTGGCCAGGGACCAGGAGCTGTGTTGCTCCAGAGAGGGGATGCTTTGACCCCATCAGTGACCAGGTTGTCCCCCCAGCTGTCCCCAGGTCCATGGGGTGGGTCTGCGAGGCTCTGGAGGAGCGTTGCCCACCCAGGTGGGAGCTGTGCCCACAGCAGGGCTGTCCCCATGGCTGTCCCCGTGTGCTCCCAAAGAGGATGCGATGGGAAACCTCAGCATGGAGCAACCAGAATCCTCCAGCACCCCAGACCCACTGCACCCCACGGCCCTGGGGGAGCCCTGACCCCCCCCAGGGACTCGGATTTTTTTCACCAAGTGGGGTCTCCAGCATGAGTTGTGCCCGGAGTGGGGGTGTCCCTGCAGTTTGGGGGTGCTTCAGCTGCAGAGGAAGCCCGGAGCAGCACCGGAGCCTGCGAGCCCTGGGTCCGGCAGCAGAGAGTCACTGGGAGACAGTTATCTCGTTATCTTCCCAGCTTTCAACACCCTAAAAGAGCTGCCCAGTGGTGAGATATTTTAAATATAATGTATTCATCCTCTATATTTTTATACACATGTAACAAACACGCATACCGTGAGAGGGATGACACATCCCTGGAGAATCCAAAATCCCAAACTGAAACCACTGAGCTCAGCCCACATCCTCCCGGCCCGGGGAGTCAAACGAAGGCGGCTGGAGAAAACCTCACAAGAAGATCCAGCTTCTCATCGCTGGGCACACTGGAAATGCTGCTGGGTCCTGGTGTCTGCGACCCTGCCTTGTTGGCACAGCGCGGGCACAAGTGTGCTGGCAGCCAGTGGAGCATCCGTGTGTGTGTGTGCATCACCTCTCTCTGCCTTTCTTTTTCCTGCAAAACCCGACTCTGGCAGGGTTTATGTTCAGCCAAAAGCCAGGGCACTTGGTAAATGGGAATTTGGAGCCATTCCAGCCTTTCCTTTCAGGCTAGACCTCAAACGCCAGGATTTATCGATGCTGTTGTCATCTCATCCTTGGATCAGCTGCATCCCTCTATCTCTTCTGTCTATCCCCATATCTCTCCTCCTTCCCCATCCATCCTTCTGACACCCTCACATCATCCTGTCCCCCTGGTGATCTCATCTGCTCCCGTGGGATGAAATATTGCCACGAGCCAGGCTGGGCTCCAGAGGGCTGGCGTTGGCCAACTTTTCCCACTGGCGAGCCCTGGTCCTTCGCGTTCGTCCCACTAGATGGCAAGGCAGAGTGATTAGAAATCCTGACCTGAACTTGGGACTGCAAACTCCCTCTCTGCTGTCTGCCTCCCTCCTGGGGTGGTTTTAGCGGCTCCTGGCATGTCCCCGCAGCTGGGGAATAGCCCAGGTGCTGGGTGTTGGCTGAGGAGGGATTAAAAGGAGCTGCGTGTGGGAGGAGAGTGAGGTAGGTGCAGGGATGTGTTTGGGGGTGAGGGGGCTGCTGGCTTGCAGAAACCAAACTTTTTGAAGAGCAATGTGGTGACTCTGGGAGCAGGGGGGTTGATGGAGGGGAGCTGATTCAGCAGTGCTCTTGTGTTTTGTGTGGCTCCCAGGTCCCCTCTCAGCTCTGGGAGGGGGCTGCTGGGGGCTCAGCCCCGCTGTTATTAACTGTGCTCTTGTGTCCTTGCTGCTGCTGAGCTGGGGGAGGAAGAAACCAGAGCCTGCCTTTGCAGTGTGGGGCAGGGAACAGCAACCCCCCCTTCTGCTGCCAGCACCACAGCCCACTCCCACCCTGGCAAAGTGCTCTGTCCCCTCCATGGGGACTGGCTGCCCCCCGGCTCTCCCCCAGCACCTGGTGGGGCTGGATGGATGCTGCCCAGAGCTGCTGATGGCAGTGGTGTCAGAGGGGCTCTGCGTTGTGTCCTTGGGTCTCTGACGGCCCCCCCTGCCTGTGGGACAGTCCTGCTCCAGCTCAGCCTGGCTCAGCAATGTGGCTGAGACCTGGTCACCCCCTCTGTCACCCTTGCTGCCACTGCCCTGTGTCCCTTAGGCTGTGGCTGGGCAGCTGGAAGTCCTGGCTCTGCTCCATCCCCTGATATCTGCAGCTCGACCCAGCTGATGCCTGTGCTCATGCTGTTCCCAAGGGGCAGGTCACAGCCTGGTCATGGGACCTGCCTGTGTTCTAAAGCCATTTCTGTGCCAGAGAGGCTTTGTAGGGTTGCACAGCCTGCCCTGTGCATATATGGGGCTGTGCATCCGCTGAGATACACGTGCTGCTTCTGCAAACATGCCCAGCCAAGGAAGGGACCTGCTGCAGGGACATGGGGATGAGGGGTAGGAGCAGAGCTGCCAGAGAGAAGGATTAGCACAGGGCCCATGGTAGAAGCTCTGAGCCGGAGCTGTGCAGAGGCAAAGCATCTCTCTGATCTCAGGAGCGTTTGCTGAGTAACAGCAAGAGCTGCGCGGCTTCAAAGTGGTGTCTGACGGGAAGCGGTGTCAGTTCTGTTGTTGGAGACAGTTAAATGATGTGGGACGGGGGGGGGAGCACCGGGAGCAGTCCCAGTCGGAGGGGATGGATGAGACAAATGGATGCTCGCAGACTGTTTTGTACGTGCAAGGAGCTGCATCCCCCTCGGTACAGGCTGTGCAGGGAGGGACAGGGAGGAGCAGACTAACTCCGGGCATTAACCTCCCTCCCCTGGTCCCCTCTGGCTGGACCCATGGCTGTCCCCTCCCCGGGCATGTAGAGGGCTCTGCAGCAGCTCGGCAGAGGGCTCACGTCCTGCCTGTCCCTCTCCTTCCCCTCCATCCCTCCTCCCTCACCCGGAGAGCGTCTGGGTGTAATTCATGCAGCTCTCCTCCCTCCGTCTCTCTGCCGCTCAAGGTCACCTTCCTCTCCAGGGCTGGATTTTCACATATTGATTGCTTGGCTCTAACAGCCGACGTCTCGGTCAGCTCCCGAGCTCACGCCAGCTCAGCATCTTGCCGCTCTCTGGGAGAAGCATCTCCAGATGGGCCCCCTTCATCCCCCATCCTGCCCTCTCCCTCCACTCTCCCCTCCCAGCCCCAGCCCTGCATCAATAACCGACACCAAAAACAGAGGCAGGAAAGTCTTCAGGCCCTGGAGAGCCGCAGCCTTCTCCCTCCTCTGCCTCTCTGTCTCCTGGGGAGCATGACATGAGCACGTTTCTTCCCTTGGCTTGATTTAGGAGGAGCTGGGACAGCGTGTGGCATCCTTGCAGGGACTCAGCGTGCTGCTGTGCCCATCCGTGAGCTGCCTCCAGCCTCTCCTGCTCAGCCTTCCTCCCGCAGGTCTTCCTCCCCAGCGGGAAATGAGCTCCTCTCTCATCACTGTGCCCATCCCTCCTGCTTCCCCCTCCTCACCCAGATTTCTTCTCTGCTCGCCTCCCACCAGCATGACCAGGAGCTCCCTGTGCCACGCAGGACTGTGTCCCTTGGCCACCACCTGGGGACAGAGCTGTCCTTTTCTGTCCTTTGGCAGCTTCTCAGGGCTGGGGGGGATCGGGTCGGGAGCAGAGCAGTGGTGGCTGGCCTTAGGGACCTGAAACAGGAATCAGGGCGGAGGAGGATGGAGGCTTTGAGCACCCCTGGGACCCCAGCAAGCTGGGAAGAGGCCACATACAACACTGGTCTCCCTGTCCAGGACAGTGGCTGTGCCTGTGCCAGCCCCATCCCTGACCCACACCCAGGGCAGGCAACCGGTGGATTTACTGTCCAAGTGCAAAATCAACGGCAGGATGGGAAAAGGCCACGCACTGTGGATGCTGACAGGCTCCTGGCCTCTCCGAGCTAGAAATCACCCTGAAACGCTGTTGGGGAGGAAGCGCGGTGGCCCGGCGTGCTCAGCGAGCGAGGCAGGGATGATAACAGCTTTATTTATAGCACTTCACTGCCTGTTGGCTCAAGGCACTGATTTGTGCTTAGCGTGCAATCGTTCAGGGCGGCTGCTTGTGCAGCTCGCGGCTCATGCAGCCGTCGGCGAGCTCCCACCGCCTGGCATCAGGGCAGGACTTTGCCTGGGTTCGATGTGTCCCATTCCCTGTCCCCAGCCCAAGCAAGCTGGCCTGGGACCAGGCTCCCCTGGACTGACCAGAAACTTATTTTCCTGCCTGTATTTACAGAGCATCTCATCTAGAGACATCCTGATGGGTGCCTTAGGGTCTGAGAGGTTGAGCATCCCTGACACTGATGGAGTAATTAACAGTGGCCACCCGGGGAGAGCTGTGGTGCTGCTCCATCTCCAGATCTCTCCTCCTTTTTTTATTTTTTAAGGATCCCAGTGCTGGGATTCATTAGATGGGAGCTGCAAGGGCTCTGGAGATGAAAGCGCTGTTCATGAATTATCACCGGGGTGCAGACAGCTGCCCCAGCCCCTTCAGGGAAACTCAACAATGGAAACAGAGGGGGGAAGAAAAAAAAAACCTGCTTGGGCTTTTCCTGTCCTCAGTTTCCACTTCATCACTGGAAAAAGGATGAGGAAAAACACAGCAAAAAGGAGAGAAAGAAGAAAATGCATTCTTTGCCTATTCACATCCTCCCTTTCCCCCAAATGCTTGGTATAAAAATAATCAGTGGAAAATCAGCCCCCTCCCTGCAGCTGACTGTGGGGCTACTAAAGGATGGGGGTGCCCGCAGCACCCCGGGGCTTTCCCAACTCTCCTCCTCCACCTGGCTCCAGGACT